TCTTGGCCAACAATAAGCACGAAAGCGATGACTCGGATGAAGATGAAGAGTCGGAGGATATGGATGATTCGGTTGGTTTCCTGGATAAGGAAGCGGTTGAGAGCGGTGGCAGTGATGATGAGGACGACGATGAGGATGAAGAAGAAGACGAGGAGGACAGCGATGAATCCGGTTTGGGTTATGAGTTGATTCCAAAAGTGATTTATTTTAATGAAAATTATTTGATTTTCAGACGAATCAGAAAAAGTGCCGAAAAGCAAAGACCAGAAACCGAAACCACAACAGAATCAACAAAAGCAAAACCAAAATCAGTTGAGCTCTCCTCAGAAGTCCCCTCAGAACCAAAACCAGAATCAGAAACCGTGGGGAAGTGGACAGAAGGGCGGCCAACAAAAAGGCTTTCAGCAACAGAAGGGACAGTGGAACCAATCGGGAGGACAGAAGAACTTCAATCAGAATCAAAAGGGAGGCAATCAGTGGCAGAACAAGAAGCAGTTTGGAAGCGGCGGCGCTGGTGGTGGAGGTGGCGGTCAGCACAACAACACCCCAAACAACAACTACAAAGGCGGCCAACAGAATAAGAGTCCTAACTTCAGAGGCGGTCAACAGAATAATAGCCCCAACTTTAGAGGCGGTCAACAGAATAATAGCCCCAACTTTAAAGGCGGTCAGCAAAACAACTTCAAAGGAGGCAAACAGACCCCGAACTTCGGTGGAAAGGGAGGAGGAAATAAGCCAAACTTTAACCAAACCCCCAAATTTAGTGGACAAAAGGCAAGCAATTTCAATCAGAATAAGAAGCAATGGAATTCTGATAAGAAATAATTGGTTTCAATCTCTCATTAATTACATTTTATTAGTATTTCAAGTTTTAATCGATAATACAAAGCATTATAATTATAAATTGAAAGAAATTAATTTTTTTAATTGCATTCCTATTGTATTTGAGTTGAACGCATATAATCATTAAAAGTCGTTTTAAGAAATATCTAATTTGTCGACAACTGATTCAGGACACCATTAGACACAACACACGAAGACATTTGAACGGAGGAGTCATTGTTGAAGACATTTGTGAAGGGAAGGGAATCGCTGCTAAAAGCGGGCAATTTGTAGGTTTAATTTGAACCGCATTTGAGTGATAAGGTTGTGACAAAGGGTTATGGTGTTTAGGTTCACGTCAATTATGTGGGTCGCCTCAAGAATAAGGTGTTCGACCGGACATACCATAAGCCCTTCTCGTTCAGACTGGGCTCTGGCGAAGTCATCAAAGGCTGGGATGT